TGAGCTACTCTCTTAGATAAAGCATGAAGCTACAGGTTTTCAAATATTTTCAATCAGAGTTTCAAGTTGATATTCCATATGAACCACTAAATTTTATTTTGGAGTTATATACTTTATTTATTACTTAATAATTCTATTCCATCGTGACGCAATGGACATTAAATTAAAGAAGACGGTATAAGAGACTATGCATTAAGACTACCAATTATATTTATTGCTTTTCTAAAGCGAATCTTAAAATCCACTTAGTGAAGAGGAATAATATTCAAGTATATTAAACGTCTGCACATCAATTTCAACTGACTGTTTTCATATGCCACATGTCTAACAACTGAATTCGGTATCTTGGACTCTTCTTGTAAAAGAACAGAATCAGCTACTAGCTAAATAGTTCTTTATTGGATGCAGCATAGATTAACTTTGAAATAGTCCACCAATCAAAGTAATTTGCAATCCCCATTACTTTCGATATTCCATACATTCGTATATTGAATACGTTATTTACTATTATAATACATAGTTAAACATCGGAACAGTGTTGCTACATCCTCATTACAAACTCGCTGCTTCGTTGTTTGTGTAGTCAACACGATTATAATATCAAGCGTATGTTCTTTAGGAATTTCAAATCAAGCCAGCATACACGGTGGCGACGCAACACTTTAGAGGCCCAGTTCTTTAAAGATCTTAATCTACAACAAGACTTCCCTCTAAATAACATTTTAACCTTTGCCAAAGATTCTAGGGGGTTTTAAACCCTGATTTTCTGCATTATGCAGTAACACAATGCCAAAAGGCCTAACTGGATCACTTACAATCGCTTAGGATAACCTAACCTAGGAACTTTAAAAATTCGTTAATGTTGATTTGCAATACTTCATCACGATTATTAAACAGCGTTTTGACTAAGGTAGCTGTTATCTGCTTTTATACATATTTTCTTTTTCTTTTTCTCTGCTTGTTTGCAGTTATGATAGTATATACCTAGTAAAATTTTTTCCCAAAACGGCTGCCTACACTCCAATAGGTCAGAATCCAATAACAATTGGTGTGAATTTACAGAGATCTCTTGAATTTTTTTTTTAGTGATAAAATTTAGTAAGGGTACTTGAATTTAGCAAAGCAATAGTATACTTAAAATGTACACAAAAACGTTTCCATTTTCAATTATCTATTATCTATTTATATATTTGCAATGGATATTTAAATAGCTTGCTTAAACAGATACAACGGTGCGAACAAATTAGCTTAAATTCTGGGAGATATATAGAATATATAGAAACATAATCTTGTCAAGGCGCAAAGAGAGGTTTTGAAGAAACCTCGCATTTAATAGAGAGTAAAAGTGCACCGACTCAACATAATAGAATCTATGAAATATAATTTAAAAAAATTAAAACTAATGTAACAGCTTTTAGATACGGTACATGTCAGAAGAAATAGCCAAAGTGTCAGCTAAACGCACTAAAACAAAAAAAATTTGAAAAAAAACAAAAAAATTAATAACTCGCAGTACGAAATTGAAAGCTTTTGTGCTAACCATTTCAAAATTAAAAGCGAGATAACGTCAAAACTACAGTTTTATCTTATTTTAAAATAATCTTAATAAAATCTTAACTTATTAAAATCTATATATTGCTAAAACTATTTGTTTGATAGAAATGTTCCGTTATTAGGAACAAGTAATATATTTTCTATTATCCTTAGTTATAAATTTGAAACTATGGGCATTAAAAGTTCAACAGTTTATATCAGCTGAAAAGCCGTTCCTCACATGTTTTGACCTTGCATAGCAATAATTTGTAGTTCACCTTTTGTAATTCTCTTGTATTTATTCAATTTATTATGGAAATTACTAAAAATAGCTTTGCTTTGAATGGAATATTTTGCTGCGGTGCAAGAATGATAATTCATTTTTAATGATTTTTGCAAAGCTAACACACTCCAAAGACAACTACAAAACCCACATACACCGACCGGGTAGTATCTATACACAAAGCCATTCAATATACGCTCGGAGCAGCCATTGTTGGACATTTGCAATGAGTCAGTGTCATGTAAAAATTGCGTTTACACTTCGCAATACATTTCAATTGCGTAGAGAGTGGCGGTGTTGGATTACTGTTAGCCTGACTGCTTGAATGGATATTGTCGAGGTCATTGTCATTAAAATACAAGATATTTTTATTGAATATTTCCTTGTTTGAAATTAGAAAAAGCGACAAGTTTTGTTGTTATTTAATACGTTAGTACGTCTTTGAAACTTAAAACTCAGAAATTAAATGTAATAAAAGTATTAAATAAATTATTAGCATTAAATTTGTACCGGTATATATGTATATAATTTATAACTGCATTCAATTGATTCTTATTGATTGTCTATTGTCTATTAATTTGTCAAAGTGAATGCACTTGATTATTGCTGCAATTTTCCACTCACTCAAGGATTAACAAAAAATATATATTTTTTTCTTTACATTATATTGTATATAATTGTTAGACCAAAACAAAAATGTAACAGAACATAATGTACTATACTCGTACACTGCTATTAATGTATCTTGTAGTTATATCAACTCCCACAATTGCAATAACAGAAAAATATAGATATATGCACTCGTATAATTAAATAATTTATTTATTATTAAATTGCTATCACCTCAAAGTAGTCGAATGAAATATCTATGCAAGCTTTCCGACAACCACAGAGAAATAGTAATAAATAACAACTTTTTAAAGGTATTGGTACCACCAACCAAGCACAGAACGGGTTTCACTTACTCTACAAAAGCCATAAAAAAAGATTATATAGAAAATAAAAGAATAAAAATAAAAACAAACTATTTTTAACTATTATAAAATATTTTCTAAAAGATTTACCAGAATAGCAAGCTCCACTCATAAAATTTAATATAAATTTAATACTAAAGTATCTGCTCAACCAACACCCATATTTACTGTATCTGACCAACGTACTCATACGATACAGTTCAATTGCATTTGAAAGTGAACGCATTGCATAATTTAGTAAAATTCCAACACAGCACAATGCAAGAGTGCGGTATCTACTATTTGCCTTAGTACGAGTACCAACTTCCACTGTCATGTGCAAAAAGCACGTATCTAAAAAATGGAAAAACATAAAGAAAAGTTTGCTATAAGTATCTTTTTTATTAATAATACTACACTACCACTACACACGCATAGCTTATAAATAATTGTATAAATCTTTAAAAAAAAAATTCATTTTAAAGGCAAATACTCTTAAAAATATGCACTTTTGTATAGATTTATTACATTTTATTTTATTTTTATTTTATTATAGTATTATAGTGCATTTCAATTGAATTTATCTACGTAATACTAAAAATACTGAATTTAAAACAAGTTCGAGCATAACTTTTTAAACCGATTTTACTTGAACTAATTCAGGCGGAACGTTTTGCTTTGCAGTTTTACAATAGTTATTAGATACTTCAGAATGCAGTGTAAAAAAATCAAAACATTCCGGTAAGTAAAAATTTTCTAATCAATATTATGTGCGCCAATCACCAAGCTTTACAACAACAATAAGATTGATTGTATTAAGTAATTTTTAAAAAATATTTTATAATTTATAAATTCGACAAGAATAATTAAGTAAGTTGTTGATATTCAGATGTCTGAGTTGGTGAATCAGCACCTTTACTCTATTTTATCTGTGGACAGTTTTAAGTCACACTAAATACGGGGCTTTACGGGGCTTTATAATATGATGGATCTGATGTCTTTGTATCTGCCTATATTTATCAAATTTCGCTGTATTTTTAGGACACTGAGTGTTGGATTATTGTGACTGTCAATTGTATTGAACAGTTTTCAGAGCACGATCTTTAATGTATTTTTCAACTGAATCCACTCTCAGATCTCTGTGGATATCGGGTCCTCTTACATACCATGGGGCGTTAACCAGTTTTCTTAAGACAATATTTTGCCCTCTTTGAAGAATTTTTAAAGTTTAGCTTGGCGCTTGGCAAAACGCTATACTGCCATAGAGTAGTCCTGGTTTAATAATTTGCTTACATATGCTAACTCTATTCTTTATGTTGAGCTTTTTGCTG